ATTCCTGCATACATAAAATTTTAAATTGAGGCAGTTTTAAAGATTCCAGCAGTATTTGTAATATTGCTGTGTAATAATTATTCTTATTATACTGCATATAATCACGCAAAACCTTAAACTTTAACAGCTAAAGAAAACAACATCTAGACAAAAATTATGGGTCGAATGTTCAACTGGTGTAAATCAGTATACATCTTAATTCCATCAAAGTTACAGATGATTTGTATAACATTCTAAATATTCCTTCTGAATGTCAGATTTCCCTATCAAAACCAGTTGCAGGCTGTATTGGCCGTAGTCAGCTTCCAATTGTTATAGTCTGTAAAACACATAAGCTCCTTTCACAGCAAGAGGAAAAAAACTGTTCCTCTTCCCTCATATCTAACAGACACATAGTGGGGTGTGACGTTTTTGAGTCGGTTTGGGGGTGTTTTGAGGTTTTTCTGTTTGTTTTGTTGTTTGTATGGGGGGGGGGAGTGTTTCTTTTTTAGGTATTCAGCATAGTTAGCAGCAAATTTTGGTTTTTTTTCAGGGACACAATAGACTACATACTTTGGCACTTCACTCAAACACAAACTAGTATTTTTAAGTAGTTTACATACAGGCTTGTGACTCCTACTTACTTATGAAGAACTTCAAAGGAAATGATGCCCTTATCCCATAACTGATGGAGTTTTGAAAAAGTGCTTTTCCTGAGTTCCTATTTTTAGAATGAAAGCAACACCCTGATTCTCAACAGCAGAGAGAAATTCTTCCAGGGTTAATCTCAACATAACTGAATAACGGAGCATTTCAGTGGCGGCCTTTGTGTAATCAACACATGTTCTTGTCACTTTGTGCTTCAGAGGAAATTGGACGACATTTTCCTTTCATACCTATCTCCAGCCAATTTCCTCATCCTTCTCTCTTTTACACATGAGCACCTTTGAGTAAATTACACTCTTCCCCCCCTCCTTCATTTTAGGTTTCCCTCCCCAGCCCCACTACTTTTATGATACTTTGCCTTCTCATCAGAGAACAGACAGGAAATTATCCAATGATATTTTATATTCATTTTATCATTTACTCATTACCAGTTAATCTATGTATTTATGCAAATTTATGTCTGAACCAATTGTTCTTTAATCATTTCACACATACCTGCAAATCCTAGGTTACCAATAGCAAATTAAATTAAAAACTCTTTCAGTGGTCCCTCGCCATATTTGCAGGCAAAGTCCGGTTGTGTGAGCACACCTGGGTGAACATACGTCTGTACGGAAAGTTGTCATTCTAATTATAGAACATTATCCAAAAATGAACATAGCAAAGCATTCCTTAAAAAAAGAAAAAAGAAGACAACACCAAGTTACACAACTTGAGGCCTGAGCCTCAGGTGTTACAAAGGCTGTACTGGATTACACCTGCGGTGGAGGTGGTCCAACTCATCCACAAATGATACATGTCAGACTTGTCCCTCTACAACCAGCACATAGAAAAGCGACATCTTTTGCTTCAAAGTCAAGTTTAAAGGGCAATGCTGCTGCTGATAGCAATTCATCCCATCTCGAAGCTCCACTACAGCTGGTGAAAAACAAAGTCTTACCTTTTAACCTTTTTTTTAAAAAAATATATATTACTTTTTACCTTGAGTGTGCTGCATTACAGCAAAAGCAAAGGGAGTTAGAAGCGCCTGAGCACAGCGCAGCCTAATCACTGTGTCATTCAAAAAGTGACCTAAGCCTTTAAATGCCTTTTTGCATGCCGTCGTCATTAAAACGCACCGCCCGCTTTCCAATACCCACCGAAACAAAGGAAAACCGGGAGTACCAGGACCCGCCGTACTCGGGTTTGCGGGAGAGCAGCGAGCGCTGCAACAGCAGCAGCAGCAACGGCAAGGGAAAAATCCCTCATTTATAACCAGTGACAACTAAAACCTACGAAGTTTTTAAAAGAATGTGATTGTTGTCAAAAGGAATTGGGTACAACAATGCTGCGTTCAGCTCTGGTTCCACTCAAAGCCGTGGCTGAGGGGCTCTGGGAAAGCTGCTGGAAGGCTGGTGGGCACAGACCAGCAAGAAAGTGAATTTTGCATACTGTACGGATCATCGCTCAGTTCAGGGCAGTCATATTGAATCTGTGATCAACCAATTGTGCTTCATGAAACCGTCAGCCCTCATTTATGTCTAGCTGTTTTCTTCTGTCCTGCTGTAAACAAGCTCTGCTCTGAGCTGTCTCCCTACCCTTATCTGCTTACGAAGATCACACAGACAGACCTCATCAGCAGCCTTAGAGTTAAAGTTAAAGTTACTGCTTCCAGACAGCAGTCCCCATGCAAGCTGGAAGTCAAAAAGAAGAGCAACTTTGGAATGACAGAGTTTTAGTTCCTTTTAGGAAATGCATACCTTAGATTCATACACATACTGGCATGTTATGTCTCTTTCATGAAATTAAATTAGGTGTTCCTAATATGAACAACTGTTTCTAACATCAGCAAACTAGCTCAGCAGATTCATCCATGGTTTTGTTTGTGGGTTGGTTGTTTTGTTGGTTGATGTTTGTTGTGTTTTTTTTTCCTTTGGGGCCTTGTTTGAATACAGCCGAAAGAGAAGTAGCTGGAAACATTGTCAATCTGGTAGGGCTCCAAGAACCTAATAATGCCTGAAATGCTCTAAGGAGTGTAATGATGGTAAACAGGAACAGGTATGTTGGCTTCTGTTCTCATTCACTTCAGTGAGAGCATTGGCCTTTCAACATAAAGCAGAGCAGAGTTTTCAAAGAACGATCCTCTCGTACAAAAAGGGATGGAGCCTTACTAAAAACATATTCCTCTGTGAACACACACACACACATTTTAGTTGGTATTTACAGCATTTAATTCTTGCAACCAGCTGCTAAGTCCCTGTTAAGGCTTTCCTTTATGCAGCTGGAGCTGGAATCTTTTCCCTTCTCCTAGCCTATTGCTTTGTCTATTTAAGGGATGGCAGCCAAAGAGAAACAGCTTGTAATTTGCACCTGTCTGCTTTAAGCACTCCATGTTAGATTTTTGGAGAGAGCAAACTCTTGACTGCTAATGAGAATGACACTTAGTAGGGTCAAACATACCTTTTTAGCTGACTCTGCAGCAATTAAAAAAAAATAAATACCCACTTTGTTTCAGGCTGTTCTAGAGCTAGAGAACAAGGCTAAGGAAAAAGCCTTGTCAAAAAAAGAGCAACTAAGTACGTAGGTGGAAGACGTAACCCCATGTGTCTAGTCTAATGTAATACCAGACACGGCTCGGCACAGTCGAACCCGTGCGCTGCCCGTGCAGGAGCGCACAGGAGGGCTTTTGCCTCTTCCCCTATAAAATGCAGAATTGTTTCAGAAAACAGCCATGTGCAAAGAATCCTTCTGAATTTCTACATACCAGGCTGCCTTTTGAGGACTCGCAGTACGCTTTGCGACCTACGGGGTCAAGCCTGTGAGGAAATTGTTCTCCAAGAATGAAGAAGAAATGCATGTTTCACTCCTGATCCAGAGGTGGGCAATCGTTTGCATTGCCATGCAGAAACACACTAGCCAGAGTGTAAAGCGTGGAAGGTGTGCATCAAACAAATAATCCACGTGTGATCCTTCAGCCTTACATTAACTACCTGAGCATGTTTGCTTCTTGCTAGAAAATAAGCTTCGGTATCATTTACAACTGCATTGAAAGAAACAGCAATTTCACCAGTATATTAGTTTACTTACTAAGAAGTAGTCTCTTTTTTTTTTTTTGCTTGCTCTTAAAATAGAAAAGCCCTCAAAAAACTCAAGCTACAGAGCTGATGACAAGAACAAAAATGCCAGGGAAAAAAAAAATAGAAGAGAAATAAAGCAAAGTAAAACATACGATTTATTAAAGAAAACACTGGTGCTGCATTTTGATTTCATGAATTGTCCCCATTTGTACTTCCTGTTTAAACAATAACTAACATGATGATGATGGGTTAAATGAAGTCGAGATTGTCACAAACACGGCCTCAATAGTAATTAATATAGTTTAATATGGTTGTTGGCACACATCTCACATGACAGATAATGTTCCAACATGTCACTGATAGGACCTTTCAGCACAGCTTTAGGAGATCTACCAGGCATTGCTGAGGTTGGTTAGGTCAAAGGGTTGAACCATGTGTAATTCAGAACAGAGGAGGTCCCACGGTCACTCCACAAAAACAATTACACTACTTATTTCACTCCATCCCTTGCCCGAAATTCACAAGCCTCACAGTTTCAGCGCAGTCAATCTCACTCTGCCCTGGGGCTACGAGCCACATGAAAATATGTGGTGCTGTGTTTATAAATCTAATCAAAAATAGAAACAGTAGACAAGCACAATGAGGTCCTACTATGGATCATGGGAATTCTCTAAATTCTGAAGGCACTTTTGTTTAACTTCTGTGGGCCTTCTCCTATCATTACATTGTCTGGTACTCTCGTTAATCATCCCCTTGACTTGTCAATGATATAAAGGAGCCTACGCGTCTGACTTCCCTTCCATCGCACTATAAATAATATTATGAAATAGCAATACTAGGAACAGCCCCTTTAATTTTCCTGGTTTAAAGCGTGGTTTTTCTTGACTTACCTCTTTCTCCATGCCAGCCTGCCCTTTCTCACACCTGCAGCAGAAAACACTTCCTCCTACAACAAAGGAGAGGGAGTACATCTCAATTTTCAGTCTGCACACAGTCATTAATACCCTTAGGTTTAACACACAGACTTGCAGAGCACCAGCCTAGAAACCTGCCAGGACAGCAGGTCTTTTCCTACTGCAGTCGCTGCTCCTGCCTTGCTGAAGAACAAAAGGAGGATGTAGTGCTGTTCCACTTCGTCTTTTTGAAAACAACTTTACATCACATCATGCTTAAAAAATAGCTAATAAAGATAAACAAGAAAAACATAGTTTAAGATCAGATGAATGAACACCAACAAAGATGTGGTTTTACGTGGAAGTAGCCCAGAAGTAGGTAATTCCTGCCCCCAGACAGTAATTACTAAAACGACAGTTTGCTGTGGAATACACTTAACCTGAAAATTACAATACCAAAGCTGCCAGATTCAGGAATGCTTCTGTGATCTGGCATTTAGGTGGGTCCCGCTTATGCCTCACTCTGTGCTGGGATTTCCATTAGAAGGATGGAAATTATCCTCTATTCTGAGGTTATAACCATTAAGCAAACAAACGATAACTTTACAAGTTATATATCACATTAGCAAAAGTGTCTCTATTTTATACCAGCTACTTTTGTCTCTACGTGGGAAAAAAAAATTATTTATTCAAAACAGCTAGATGGACTGCCCCTGCACTCTCCGAAATCAATGGCAAGACTCAGTCTGACTCCACAGTCGCAGGACCTGAACCACAATGAAAAACAAGCTTCTTCCTTTGCCAGCTTTTCCCTGACGCGTTTATACAAACACACATTCAGATTATTTTGCAGAGCCTGAAAACAAATCAAGACTTTGAACAATTAAAAATATCCTTTCGGAGTCCCTCAGAAGCTTTAATTGACCTTCTGGGTCAGAAGATGCCCTGTACAAAGTACATGTTTGGCCCCAGTTGAGGAAACTCTCCTGAGGGCACCAGGCAAAGAAGTGCTTAATTCTAAGTACGCGCTTAAGTTTCATTGAAATCAATACAATGGACAGTGGACGGGGCCACGGATTCTCTGCGGAAAAAGGCTGCATTGTCACTCTGGCTGCTCAGTAATGAATGAAGGGCTGAGCTTTTGCCCAGGCTTTGGTGGCGCTGAGAGTCTGCTGACCTTTGCCATCGCTCCTCGATTTCGGTGCCCTCCTTGGGGTGCCAAGGCCGCTGCAGCGGTGCCGGAGGCTGCGATTCCGACAACTCTTGCTCCTCCTGTGGCCAGCCCTGCCCAAACAGCCCCTGTGCCGTAGTCCACGGCTGTCACAAAAACCGTGCCCAAACTCTTCTGCTCCACAGCACTCTGCAATACTGAAAATAAAGCCCCACCATGATCACACAGGTAGGCTCAGGTCACGCATGGAGTCATTGTATGTCTCAGAAAACAACCCCGGAGTCCCAATTCCAAAATCTGGGATGAGTTTCCAGGCCAAGATTGTATCTGCATCATTTTTCCAGCTGCTGCTCTAATCTGATCGCACGTCCGCTGAATGCAACAGGTAACTAGTTTTGAGCCTGATGACATGGCACGTTCCTTGTTATGACTCAAACGGGAGCAGCAAAAGAGAAGAACCTCTATGAGCTAAAGACAATAAAAGCTTGAAACGACTCCTTTCCTTTTCAAAGTAGGATCACAAGAAGCTGCCAGCAGAAAGTACTGATAAAGATGTGTGCTGTAAATTCAACATTTTCATCCACGGTCAACATCTGCTCATTGAATAGGTTCCAAAGATGCAGCAATAAGGACTTTCAAAGCCACAATAGTCCCAAGAATCCAAACATCAATGGGAAGACTCGAAGTCTCATCTTAAAGAATGTGATTGATGAAATTAAGAAAACAAAGGGAAAAGATATATAAACTGAGTTCAGAGGAGACATTAATAACATTAATGTCTTAACAGTGATTTTCTTAGAGTCAAGATCTTTCTTTTATTTGGGTTTTTTTGGGAATTTGTTTGTTTGGGTGGGTGGGGGACGCCTCAGTGTTTTTTTAAAAGGAAGGTGCTAGACATCGCTTTTCCTTTTTCCTTTTTAATACCAATCAGGCAACACATTCAACACTGCATTAACTGATGTTGACTGTGGCCTTACTTAACCTCATCAGCCTATTTTCTTTAGCTGGATAACAGCTGAATCATTAGCATTACACTGGCTTGTAGTCCTGAAAGTACAGCAAAAACAAAGCACGTGATTTTTCTGTCAGTCACAAAACAACATAAAATCTATTTCAGATCCCACCAGATATTTTATACCCAGCTGATGCAATGTTCTGCATGACTTAAGGGTGAACTTTAGTTATTTTTAAGTATATTTGTATTAAAATGAGAAAGCAAAACAACCACTTAGAAGTTATTAAATGGAATACTTTCACTTCCCCCCCCCAAGAACAGTAACTAAGAAAGCTACATCAAATATGCAAGATATCTGAACAGCTTTCTGTAATGAAAATAATCTATTTTTAAATCCAAAAGATGAAGGAATTAAATAGAGGGAGATGCAACAAAAATAACTCTTATAGCACCAAAACTACATTGATGGGCTCCTGTTACCAGCCATAGCTCTAGCAGAGATTATACTGGTGCAGGCCGAGGTATCTCTTTTCTCACACTAGTTAATACTTTGTGCCGTATCACCTACTGGAAATCCAGAAGAAGAGCCTGGATATGATAAGGGTCCTGCAAACATAGCCATAAAACATACTGTTCTTGCCATGAAGAAGAAAGTCTGTGCTATTTGTAGTTGCGTACTCAGCATCTCCTTAAAGCGCTCCCAAGCACACAGGCACATCACCACGGGCCAAGGAGAGCGATGCCAGGCACAGCTAAGGCTCTGGTGGTTGCTGGAGGAGAAATAGCAGGTTCATAGAAGGAGTAGCAAAGCAACAGTTTGTCATTAGGGTGGCTTACCCTCACTCTTTTCTCACCTTCTTCACCCGAAATGCAATTTATCACATGCTAAGAAGAAGTGCTGTGGGATCTCTGGGCTACAATATAGGCAGAAACCACTGAGTAAATGATAACCCTAACAACCTACCTGTAATTCCCTTTGGACTCTCTCATAAATACCAGCTAGCCAGCATTGGTCTTTAAGAAGTATTTCTTCGGGGCAAAATTGCACCT